GCCTCTTCGTTGAGCCTCTTATTAGACTACAGGCCCTCGTCGAAGAATCTATTATATTTTTTTCCCCTTACTCCCTCTTTTAGTTAGTAGCGAGAAAAATCAAAGAAAATCCAAACAAAACTCAATATTGAATAAATTCATCCATTTCAGGAACTTCAGCACCTTTAAAATTAAGGATTTTTTTTATTACTTATTACTTATTATTACTTATTATTTATAAATTATTATATTATTATTATATAAGTAATAATAATAAAACTTGTAAGGAAAAGTCCGTCTGCACAGCACCTCGAGCAAAAAAAATATTATCAATATCATTATCTGAGAAAGAGGAGAAGGAGAGAAGTAAAAGAGAAAACGAAAGAGGGGAGAGAGAGAAGGGAGAAAGAAAGAGAAAGAGGGAAGAGAAAGGAGTAAGGGAGAAAGAAAGAGAAAGAGGGAAGAGAGAGGAGTAAGGGAGAAAGAAAGAGAAAGAGAGGAGAGGAGTAAGGGAGGCAGAAAGAGAAAGAGAGCAGAGGAGTAAGGGAGGTAGAAAGAGAAAGAGAGAGGGAGGAGGGAGGAAAGGCGAGAGAGAGAGAGAGAGAGAGAGAGAGAGAAAGAGAGAGAGAGAGAGAGAAAGAGAGAGAGAGAGAGAGAGAGAGAGAGAGAGAGTTATCATTTTCACCGAATAGCCAAAGACCTGTTGCAAATGTTTTCAAAGCCTGTTAGCTTAGCCTTCCCAAACGCATGATTTCCACTCCGATTTCATCAATTCTTGAATATCATCTTCATTAATGATTAATTAGTTTACAGCTGGAATATGCGTTTTATTCCGGAATGTTAATTAACAACGATAACCCTAACAAGGTAACTGCGCTGAATGTTTTAATCAATTTGCACTCATACAAAATTTGTTAATGTGTCTATCTAAATAAAATAAAAATTGGATGAAACAGCATTACCATAAAATATATTAAGGCTTTTAGCAATGGAGTAATGTTTGATTTGGCAATGGAAATTAATGTATCTTGGGTAACAGGATTTTCATGAAAATCGAAAATTTTCAAAATGGAGTTACACACTGTCAGCGACATCTAATGGCGGTGTATTATGTTTTATCATTAATTGAAATGCATCTAGCGAAGGAATTCAAGCTGATGCGCACTGTTAGTTGAATAATTAATTACTTTTTGCTATGAATAATGTAAAAGAAGTCATATATCAAAGTGTTCTAGCGAATATCCAGACTCATTCGACGCGTCTGGGTGAGGTCCAGGACACCGGGTTGGCGTCCTCGTGTCTCCTCGTACGTCTGGCACCGCGACAACCTATTTGGAAAGATGGACGCGCATCACTCGAGTTCAATACAAGCTGCCCGTAAAACCACCAGGATGTTTAGTAAATCAACAGCCATTGCATCTCTAGAATTAATAGGATATTCACCGTTATCTGATAGCTTGTGTCCTACTGATGGCAGAAAAAAGGCGTTGTGTCCCCTGGATCACTTTCCTACGTCGTAGATGGGATATCATCGATGTTGGGGTTTCCTTTCACGGAACCTGGATGACACAAGGCCACCCGAGTCCCGTTGGCATCGGATTTGTTCTGGAATCATTGTACACAAGGATAGTGATCGACTTTGAAGCTTTATTCAACTGCTTAATCTGCCAAGACGGAAAACAACACGAAAACAAGAGGTTTCATGGAAGCAGAGGAAGCAATGAGGTAGAGGAAGCGGTCGCTGGACTACACGATTTAGTAAACTACATTCGTAGGTCGACGCGAACTCTAGCACCACTACAGCTGCACGGTCTATGAATGACAGTCAAGGACCTTATCACCATTCATGAATATTGTGTGATGTTGATAAAACTGGAAGGTTAGAGGTCAACCCCTAAAGAAAAACCTTTGTCTAGATTTTTTTTTTTTTTGTATTGTATTCTTTTTCAAAGGCA